CACACACACACACACACACACACACACACACACACGTCATTGTGCCTGTATTTTGATGCCCCTGGTCTCCATGGTAAGTGCTGTGGGTGCAAACAGTCGGCTGCAGAGATGGAAAGCTGTCTTGTAAGCACAGTTCTGGTTCCTTTGCATGTTAAAGCTGAGTTTCTATAAGCAGAAACACTTTTTCTCATCCTCTGTGCATGGCGAAAAAGAAAAGAAAACTTTGTCTGTGTACATCCAACTGACTCTGAAGATGTTTATTGACTCAATAAACTGACAGTTAATGTGCCAATACATGTGGACAACGAATGAATGAAATTGGGTTTTGTACCTGCAGCAATTGCACTGAACAACATCGGTATGATGGATGCATCTCGTCCGTAGCACTTAAGGCTCCTATAGGAGGAGTGGTTGGATATGGGTGGTAATGCACTTTGTCGTGGCTGTATTAGGAGATCTGTTTAAAGACTTTTCTTCCAAAGAGCAGGAGAAATTCTCAAACCTGAAGAGGCACATAGAAAAGACCGACTGTGACCTTGTCAATTCCGAGCAAATTGTTGCTGCTCCCCACACTGAATTGGTCAAAGCAGAAGGACCAGCAGGAGAAAATCAATCATCTTACAGAAAAGCTGGAGCACCTGCAGGCTGAGAATGCTGAGGCCACAGCTGCCCAGGAGAAAGCTAAGGAGCAGCAGCAGCTGCATCATACAGTGTGGCAAGAGGAGAGGGGAATTCTTAATGAAACAATCCAACTCCTCCAAGGAATCCTGAACCAGAAAAATCAGCAGGAATGGACTGAAATTTACTCTGTCCTGGGCTCCAGGATGCATGATCTGGAGTCCAGATTGAAGGACATGTTGGATCAAATGCCCAAGGAGAAGAAGAAAAGAAGCTGCTCTCAAACTGAGAGATCACGCTCTTGGATAAAGATAGCGGAGAAAAATCAAAAACATTACAGAAGCAAAAATAAGTCCCTAACCCAAAATCGTCAAGGTAACGTGTCAGGAACTGCTGTCTCATTCCTTTATATATGATTTGTACAAAAAGTCTCAATCACTCATTGACATCAATGAAGTCTGCGGTTGTTGGGGTTGGGCCAGTGTAATCATGTTGAAATTTAGGAAATTTAGAAACGAGGACTAGGTCGCACCATCTTACGTTAAAAAAGATTTTTTCTGCAGAAAGGCTGACTTCTCTCCACCTGGCTGTCAACTCCAAACCTTAATAGTCACTGCTCCTCAGTAATTTTCCGACACTGAAGATGTTGCGGACTTCACTGGAAAACCCCCGACTTGCACAGAAGTAAAGTGGATTTCTCACTGAAAACAGCTGACTCATGTTGCTGTGAACTGTGTCTCAACAGCTGGTCTATGCAGGAGTTATTTTACAGTCCCCATCAGTTTTTCATTTGTTTTATTTTCACTCGTGTGTCCGTTTGTTGGTTGGTTGATTTGTTTTTCAGCAGGATTATTCAAAAACTACTGAATGAATTTCTACAAAACTAGAAAAATTCTGAGTCTGTCATTCAAGTCCTATAAATATTTAAAAATATTCCAATTGCAAAAAAGGCAAAAAATGTCTTTGTCACTGCCAGACAGTAGAAATGGTTGAAAGGCAAAAATCCAGAAAACAAGTAAAATGTATTTAAATTGATCAAAATGCATTTGTTGCTGTGATTTAGCATTGGTTACATCACTCTGTTCCATCGCCACAGATGATCCTCTGAACAGCAAAACACAAGTTAGACAGGGAAAAACAGATGGAAAAATGTACTTGACACCAACAAAAGAGATGTGATAATGACAGATGTGTATTTCAGTGCGTCTGCATGGGTCCAATTAGTCCTCATGTCATGCAACT